GGGACAGGGGACCGGGGGGTGGCAGGGGACCGGGGGGGGACACAGGGTCCCCGTCCCCACACAGCAGCGCCACACACGCTGCATAGAACCCGCTGGGGTCCACCTGTGGGGTGGAGCAGCAGTGAGAATCCTCCAAGACCCCCCAGAATGTCCCAGAAGACCCCAGAACATCCCAGGACCTCCCTCCGGATGAAGCCCCTGGAATTTCCCAGACCTTCCAGGACCTCCCGGAATCCCCGGGGACCCCCAGGACACCCCAGGACTCTTTGCCCCGTTGATCCCCTGGGATCTTGCAGAACCCCACAGGAAGTTCCAAAACTCCCCAGGACTCTCTGGAACCCCCTGGGACCCTCCCAAACCCCCCAGAAGCCCCTGGGAGCCACCAGGACATCCCAGAACAACTCTGGGACCCCCAGAACCCCCAGGAGCCTCCCGGTACTTCCCGGGCCAGCCCTGGGACCTGGGACAGCCCACGGATCCCCTAGAACGTCCCAGAACCTTTCAGGACCCACCGAGACGCCCCTCAGGACACCCCAAGCCCCCCAGGGTCCCCTGACCTCGCCGTGGCACTGCCGGAAGGGCTGGGCCAGCAGCCGCCCGCACGTGGCCACCGCCGCTGCCACCTCGCCGGGGCCACACCTGCCACCTCCCTCCGGCACGTCCCTGCACGGGGGCTGAGCCGGGGGTCCCTCAGCTCGGGGGCCACCCCCGGGGACCCCCACGTGTCACCCTGGCCCCTCAGGTACCTCTGTGCCGGCCACCGGCACCTTCCAGGCGTTGCCGAAGGCGGCGGCGACGGCAGCGATGTCCCCGTCGGGGAGCAGGAAGTCATCTGGGGGGACAGGCAGGGGTGGGGGGCACGGGGGGTGTCCCCAGGACCCGCGGGGCGAGGGGGTGGCACCGGGCGTGCGGGACTCACCTGCAGGGTCGTCGGTGTAGGTGCCACAGAGCCCCCAGGTGCCGCCGCGCAGCTCGGGCTCCGCTGTCACTGTCACCGCCAGGCGCCCGTCCCAGGCCACCCGCACGCCCAGGCTGCTGGCCACGGCCACCCAGTCACCCGGCCAGGTGACACCGAGCCCTGTGCGAGGGGATGGGGCGGCACGGGGACGGGATGGGGACAGGGATCCCAGTGGCAGCTGCTCATCACCGTGCCCTGGTGCTTCCTGATGGCTCTGCGGGCTCATCCTCGCCCTGTCCCAGGCTGGTGGCCTTGGGGACCTCACCTTTGTGCAGGTAGGGGCGTCCCTCCGGCACCGCTGCCCCGTTCACCGACACGTTCCGTCCCTGGGCCACCACCGTGTCTGTCCCAAAGGTCATGTGCAGCACCTGTGGCAGGGGGGGTGGCACTGGGACGCTCAGGCATGCCGGGGACAGCGGGCACAGGGACGGGACACTCATGGTCACCAGGGATGGAACCATGGGCGTGCCATCCCAGATCCTGTCCTAAACCCCATTTCAGGTCCCAAACTCATCCCAAGTCCCAAACTCACCCCAGGTTCCCAAACTCATCCCAGCCCCAAAACCCATTCCAGCCCCAAAACCCATTCCAGCCCCAAAACCCATCCCAGCCCCAAAACCCATTCCAGCTCCCATCCCAGCTGCCAGTTCCCCTCCCATCACCCATCCCAGCTCCCATCCCAGCTGCCAGTTCCCCTCCCATCACCCATCCCAGCTCCCAGCCCCATTGCACCTCTGGGAACAGGCACAGTGACCCCAAGTGTCCCATCCTGTCCCCCCTTCTCCAGTGTCTGGGTGTCTGATGGTGACATCCCAGGCGCTGCCACCCGTCCCTGCTCCCGACATCCATCCCAGCCCCATTCCGCGCTGGCAGTGACTTCTGAGCGCCCCCCCCCCCGTGCCCCCCTGCCCGTGCCCGGTACCTGGGGGTGTCCCAGGCCGATGGTGACGTCCCAGGTGCCGTCGGTGGCCGCGGCCAGGCTGTGCCGGCAGCCCCCCGCGAGGCCGAAGTGCCGCCCGTCGAAGGTGCGGAAGCGCGAGCCGGCCCAGGCCTGGCACGTGGCCGGGGGGCTGCGGTGCCGCGGGGACCCCCCGTCCCCGCCCAGGGGCAGGCGGGTGCAGGGCAGGCAGGGCCCCTCGGTGTCCCCGCGGCGCCAGCTGTGTCCCCAGGGGTGCTGGCAGCACTCGGCGCGGCTCATGGCGCTGCCGTTGTGGCCGCCGGCGCCGTCCTGGCACTGCCAGGCGCTGAAACAGCGGCCCAGGGAGCCGGGGCCTGCGGGAGGGGACAGCGGGTGACACCCAGGGGCACAGGGGGATGGCACACAGCCCAGCGCCCACCCAGCACCCAGGGGGAATGGCACAGTGAGGGTGTCGCACCGGGAATGGCGTGGTGGGAATGACACGTCCCAGTTGCCATCTCAGCTCCCAGTTGCCATCCCGACTCCCAGTTCCCGTCCTGGCTCCCAGTTCCCATCCCAACAGCAATCCCAGCTCCCAGTTCCCATCCCGGCTCCCAGTTCCCGTCCTGGCTCCCAGTTCCCATCCCAACACCAGTCCCAGCTCCCAGTTCCCATCCCAGTTCACATCCCAGCTCCCAGTTGCCATCCCGACTCCCAGTTCCCATCCCAGCACCAGTCCCAGCTCCCAGTTCCCATCCCAGCACCAGTCCCAGCTCCCAGTTCCCATCCCAGCACCAGTCCCAGATCCTGGTCCTCAACCCAGCTCCCAGTTCCCATCCCGACTCCCAGTTCCCATCCCAGCACCAGTCCCAGCTCCCAGTTGCCATCCCAACTCCCAGTTCCCGTCCTGGCTCTCAGTTCCCATCCCAGCACCAGTCCCAGCTCCCAGTTTCCATCCCAGTTCCCAACCCAGCTCCCAGTTCCCATCCTGGCTCCCAGTTCCCATCCCAGATTCCATCCCAGCTCCCATCCTGCCACCCAGCCCTGCTCCCAGCACCCGCTGGGAATGGCGCGGTGGGAATGGCACGGTGGGAATGACGCCCATCCCAGCTCCCAGTTCTCAGTTCCCATCCCAGTTCCCATCCCAGTTCCCAGTTCCCATCCCAGCTCCCAGTTCTCAGTTCCCATCCCAGTTCCCATCCCAGTTCCCAGTTCCCATCCCAGCTCCCAGTTCTCAGTTCCCATCCCAGTTCCCATCCTGGCTCCCAGTTCCCATCCCAGATTCCATCCCAGTTCCCAGTTCCCATCCCAGCTCCCATCCTGCCACCCAGCCCTGCTCCCAGCACCCGCTGGGAATGGCACGGTGGGAATGGCACAGTGGGAATGGCACGGTGGGTATGACGCTCATCCCAGCTCCCAAATCTCAATTTCCATCCCAGTTCCCATCCCAGTTCCCAGTTCCCATCCCAGCTCCCAGTTCTCAGTTCCCATCCCAGTTCCCATCCTGGTTCTCAGTTCCCATCCCAGTTCCCATCCTGGCTCCCAGTTCCCATCCCAGTTCCCATCCTGGCTCCCAGTTCCCATCCCAGATTCCATCCCAGCTCCCATCCTGCCACCCAGCCCTGCTCCCAGCACCCACTGGGAATGGCAGGGTGGGAGTGACGCCCATCCCAGCTCCCGGTAGGAATGGCGCAGCAGGGATGTCCCCGGGTGCCACCCCCGTGTCCCCCCTCACCCTCGGTGCAGCGGGCGCCGCTCCAGCCGGGACAGCAGCCACGCTCCGTGCGGTTCCGGACCACCGGCTGCATCTCCGGGGGGCTGTGGGGACACGCCAGTGTCACCCAGCGTCCCCCGGTGCCGGCCGGTGCCACACGCCGCGGGCTCACCGGTAGACGTAGCAGAGGGCGGGGTCGGTGCCGGTGTCCCCGGGGGGATTCCCGCGCTCCCGGCGCGTGCGGTCCCGGTCCAGCCGCCACCCGGCCAGGCTGTACTGGTACAAACTGGGACACGGCACCGCGGCCTCGCGCCGCGGCGTCACCTCCTGCTGCTCCGTCACCGGCACCGTCCGCTCGCACCAGCGCCTGCGGGCAGCCGCGGGACCGGCCCGGGATCGGCCCGGGATCGGCCCGGGATCCATCCGGGACCCGCCCGGGATCGGCCCGGGACCCGCCCGGGGTCCATCCGGGACCCAGCACAATCCCAGCTCCCATCTGGCACCCCCATCCATCCCCACTCCGGGCACACACCCCAGCTCCCAGCCTCCATGTGAGCACCCACCAGGGATCCATCCTGGCTTCTGGCACCGATCCCAGCTCCCACCCAGCTCCCATCCCAGTTCCCATCCCAGTTCCCAGTTCCCATCCCAGTTCCCAGTTCCCATCCCAGTTCCCAGTTCCCATCCCAGTTCCCAGTTCCCATCCCAGTTCCCAGTTCCCATCCCAGTTCCCAGTTCCCATCCCAGTTCCCAGTTCCCATCCCAGTTCCCAGTTCCCATCCCAGTTCCCAGTTCCCATCCCAGTTCCCAGTTCCCATCCCAGTTCCCAGTTCCCATCCCAGTTCCCAGTTCCCATCCCAGTTCCCAGTTCCCATCCCAGTTCCCAGTTCCCATCCCAGTTCCCAGTTCCCATCCCAGTTCCCAGTTCCCATCCCAGTTCCCAGTTCCCATCCCAGTTCCCAGTTCCCATCCCAGTTCCCAGTTCCCATCCCAGTTCCCAGTTCCCATCCCAGTTCCCAGTTCCCATCCCAGTTCCCAGTTCCCATCCCAGTTCCCAGTTCCCATCCCAGTTCCCAGTTCCCATCCCAGTTCCCAGTTCCCATCCCAGTTCCCAGTTCCCATCCCAGTTCCCAGTTCCCATCCCAGTTCCCAGTTCCCATCCCAGTTCCCAGTTCCCATCCCAGTTCCCAGTTCCCATCCCAGTTCCCAGTTCCCATCCCAGTTCCCAGTTCCCATCCCAGTTCCCAGTTCCCATCCCAGTTCCCAGTTCCCATCCCAGTTCCCAGTTCCCATCCCAGTTCCCAGTTCCCATCCCAGTTCCCAGTTCCCATCCCAGTTCCCAGTTCCCATCCCAGTTCCCAGTTCCCATCCCAGTTCCCAGTTCCCATCCCAGTTCCCAGTTCCCATCCCAGTTCCCAGTTCCCATCCCAGTTCCCAGTTCCCATCCCAGTTCCCAGTTCCCATCCCAGTTCCCAGTTCCCATCCCAGTTCCCAGTTCCCATCCCAGTTCCCAGTTCCCATCCCAGTTCCCAGTTCCCATCCCAGTTCCCAGTTCCCATCCCAGTTCCCAGTTCCCATCCCAGTTCCCAGTTCCCATCCCAGTTCCCAGTTCCCATCCCAGTTCCCAGTTCCCATCCCAGTTCCCAGTTCCCATCCCAGTTCCCAGTTCCCATCCCAGTTCCCAGTTCCCATCCCAGTTCCCAGTTCCCATCCCAGTTCCCAGTTCCCATCCCAGTTCCCAGTTCCCATCCCAGTTCCCAGTTCCCATCCCAGTTCCCAGTTCCCATCCCAGTTCCCAGTTCCCATCCCAGTTCCCAGTTCCCATCCCAGTTCCCAGTTCCCATCCCAGTTCCCAGTTCCCATCCCAGTTCCCAGTTCCCATCCCAGTTCCCAGTTCCCATCCCAGTTCCCAGTTCCCATCCCAGTTCCCAGTTCCCATCCCAGTTCCCAGTTCCCATCCCAGTTCCCAGTTCCCATCCCAGTTCCCAGTTCCCATCCCAGTTCCCAGTTCCCATCCCAGTTCCCAGTTCCCATCCCAGTTCCCAGTTCCCATCCCAGTTCCCAGTTCCCATCCCAGTTCCCAGTTCCCATCCCAGTTCCCAGTTCCCATCCCAGTTCCCAGTTCCCATCCCAGTTCCCAGTTCCCATCCCAGTTCCCAGTTCCCATCCCAGTTCCCAGTTCCCATCCCAGTTCCCAGTTCCCATCCCAGTTCCCAGTTCCCATCCCAGTTCCCAGTTCCCATCCCAGTTCCCAGTTCCCATCCCAGTTCCCAGTTCCCATCCCAGTTCCCAGTTCCCATCCCAGTTCCCAGTTCCCATCCCAGTTCCCAGTTCCCATCCCAGTTCCCAGTTCCCATCCCAGTTCCCAGTTCCCATCCCAGTTCCCAGTTCCCATCCCAGTTCCCAGTTCCCATCCCAGTTCCCAGTTCCCATCCCAGTTCCCAGTTCCCATCCCAGTTCCCAGTTCCCATCCCAGTTCCCAGTTCCCATCCCAGTTCCCAGTTCCCATCCCAGTTCCCAGTTCCCATCCCAGTTCCCAGTTCCCATCCCAGTTCCCAGTTCCCATCCCAGTTCCCAGTTCCCATCCCAGTTCCCAGTTCCCATCCCAGTTCCCAGTTCCCATCCCAGTTCCCAGTTCCCATCCCAGTTCCCAGTTCCCATCCCAGTTCCCAGTTCCCATCCCAGTTCCCAGTTCCCATCCCAGTTCCCAGTTCCCATCCCAGTTCCCAGTTCCCATCCCAGTTCCCAGTTCCCATCCCAGTTCCCAGTTCCCATCCCAGTTCCCAGTTCCCATCCCAGTTCCCAGTTCCCATCCCAGTTCCCAGTTCCCATCCCAGTTCCCAGTTCCCATCCCAGTTCCCAGTTCCCATCCCAGTTCCCAGTTCCCATCCCAGTTCCCAGTTCCCATCCCAGTTCCCAGTTCCCATCCCAGTTCCCAGTTCCCATCCCAGTTCCCAGTTCCCATCCCAGTTCCCAGTTCCCATCCCAGTTCCCAGTTCCCATCCCAGTTCCCAGTTCCCATCCCAGTTCCCAGTTCCCATCCCAGTTCCCAGTTCCCATCCCAGTTCCCAGTTCCCATCCCAGTTCCCAGTTCCCATCCCAGTTCCCAGTTCCCATCCCAGTTCCCAGTTCCCATCCCAGTTCCCAGTTCCCATCCCAGTTCCCAGTTCCCATCCCAGTTCCCAGTTCCCATCCCAGTTCCCAGTTCCCATCCCAGTTCCCAGTTCCCATCCCAGTTCCCAGTTCCCATCCCAGTTCCCAGTTCCCATCCCAGTTCCCAGTTCCCATCCCAGTTCCCAGTTCCCATCCCAGTTCCCAGTTCCCATCCCAGTTCCCAGTTCCCATCCCAGTTCCCAGTTCCCATCCCAGTTCCCAGTTCCCATCCCAGTTCCCAGTTCCCATCCCAGTTCCCAGTTCCCATCCCAGTTCCCAGTTCCCATCCCAGTTCCCAGTTCCCATCCCAGTTCCCAGTTCCCATCCCAGTTCCCAGTTCCCATCCCAGTTCCCAGTTCCCATCCCAGTTCCCAGTTCCCATCCCAGTTCCCAGTTCCCATCCCAGTTCCCAGTTCCCATCCCAGTTCCCAGTTCCCATCCCAGTTCCCAGTTCCCATCCCAGTTCCCAGTTCCCATCCCAGTTCCCAGTTCCCATCCCAGTTCCCAGTTCCCATCCCAGTTCCCAGTTCCCATCCCAGTTCCCAGTTCCCATCCCAGTTCCCAGTTCCCATCCCAGTTCCCAGTTCCCATCCCAGTTCCCAGTTCCCATCCCAGTTCCCAGTTCCCATCCCAGTTCCCAGTTCCCATCCCAGTTCCCAGTTCCCATCCCAGTTCCCAGTTCCCATCCCAGTTCCCAGTTCCCATCCCAGTTCCCAGTTCCCATCCCAGTTCCCAGTTCCCATCCCAGTTCCCAGTTCCCATCCCAGTTCCCAGTTCCCATCCCAGTTCCCAGTTCCCATCCCAGTTCCCAGTTCCCATCCCAGTTCCCAGTTCCCATCCCAGTTCCCAGTTCCCATCCCAGTTCCCAGTTCCCATCCCAGTTCCCAGTTCCCATCCCAGTTCCCAGTTCCCATCCCAGTTCCCAGTTCCCATCCCAGTTCCCAGTTCCCATCCCAGTTCCCAGTTCCCATCCCAGTTCCCAGTTCCCATCCCAGTTCCCAGTTCCCATCCCAGTTCCCAGTTCCCATCCCAGTTCCCAGTTCCCATCCCAGTTCCCAGTTCCCATCCCAGTTCCCAGTTCCCATCCCAGCTCCCACCCAGCTCCCACCCCGCTCCCATCCCAGCTCCCATCCCAGCTCCCATCCAGCTCCCACCCACTCCCATTCCAGCTCCCATCCCAGCTCCCATCCCAGCTCCCATCCCAGTTCCCATCCCAGCTCCCACCCAGTTCCTGCCTCCCAACCCCCATTCCCAGTTCCAGCCCCTGATCTCCATTTTGCATCCCCAGTTCCCAGTTCTCTTTTCCAGCTCCCAAATCCATTCCCATCCCCCATCCCCATCCCCATTCTGCATTTCCATTCCCCATCCCATTCCCAGTTTCCCGTCCCCCATCCCCCATCCCCGTTCCCGTTCCTCACCCCGTGGCCGCCCCCACGGCTGTCACCCAGAGCACGGCTATGGCCGCCACCCCCCCGGTGACCCCCGGCCCCGCCGCTGCGGCCATGCCGGATCCCGGTTTCCTGGAAAATTGGGATCCAGGTGACTCCCCGTCACAATTCCCGGGGGGTCCTCGCGGCCAGAGGGTCCCACGGGGTCACCCCAGTGTCACCCCCCCAGTGCCACTCACCGGCCCAGCTCTGGCACTGCCCAGCGGCTCCGGGATTTATGGGAAGTCCCCAGCAGTGCCACCAGCTGCGGTGACACCGATTGGGCACAGCTGGCGGCTGGGGGGGCACGGTGACATCAGGGCGACATCTCCCCGTTTCCCGGGAGAAGGTAATGGCACGGGACATCCGGGATCCGGCACGGGGACACGGATGTGGCAGGACAGCGGGTCCTGGGCACGCTCACCCCCCGTGTCCCCACGTCCCTGTCGTGTGTCCCCTCGTGTCCCCTCATGTCCTCCGAGCCCCGTGTCCCCCACAGCCCGCTCCTGTGTTCTCCCGTGTCCCCCCCGCACCGTGTCCCCGGTGTCCCCCCCGTGTCCTCGGTGTCACCACCATGCCCTCCATGTCCCCCCCGTGTCCTTGCCCATTGTTCCCCCCATGTCTCCCTGAGTGTCCCCAAGTCCCCCGGTGTCCTCATGTCCCTGTCCCGTGTCCCCATGCCCCCCCCATGCTGTCCCCGACCCTGCCGCGTCCGTGTCCCCTCCGAGGGGGACAGCCGGTGCGGCACTGGGGCGCAGGACATGGGGACACGGGTGACACGGGAGGCACAGGGGGTGCAGGACACGGGCACACGGGTGACACGGGGGGTGCAGGACAGGGGGACACGGGGGGTGCAGGACACGGGTGACACGGGGCGCACGGGGGGTGCAGGACAGGGGGACACGGGTGACACGGGGGGTGCAGGACACGGGTGACACGGGTGACACGGGGGGTGCAGGACACGGGGACACGGGTGACACGGGGGATGCAGGACAGGGGGACACGGGTGACACCGGGCGCACGGGGGGTGCAGGACAGGGGGACATGGGGCGCACGAGGGGTGCAGGACACGGGGACACGGGGGGTGCAGGACAGGGGGACACGGGTGACACGGGGGATGCGGGGGTGGGGTGGCCGTGAGCTCCGGGGGGACCAGGACGGGGACGCCACTCCACGGGAGCCCCGCGGAACACCCCCGAGCCCCGCGGAATCCCACGAGACCCCCCCGGGATTCCTGCGAACCCCGCCTGACCCCCCTGAACCCCCCTGGATTGCCCCCGAACCCCTCCAGACCCCCCCGGACCCACCAGGCAGGAGAGTGTCCGCCCCCACCGTGCCCTGGGGACGTGCCCGGGGGTCCCCCCGGGGATCCCGAAGCCCCCGGGCGTGCAGGGGTTCCCCGGCTCGGGTCTGGGGGCGCTCACCCCGTGCCCCCCCACCGCAGGTCCCCCCGTGGCCCGGACGGAGCCGGAGCAGATGGAAGCACCGGGATGCACCGGCTCAGGTGGGGACTGGGGGATTCCGGGGGGTCTCGGTGGGGCCCGCGGGGTCCCGGGGTGCTCGGGGCCCCCCTGAGCCGAGGAGGGACCTGTCTGTGCCTCTTTGTCCCCCCAGAGTGGCTGGTGGTCCCCAAGGCGGAGGTGACCCCCGAGGACGATCCAGGGGACCCAGGGCTCCACGACTCAGGTGAGGGACAGTCCCGGGAGCGCTGCGGCCACGCGGTCACTGTCACCCTGTCGTGCGGCCGGTGGCAGCGCTGGCTCCCCGGGGGATGGTCACCGTGTCCCCGGGGCCGGTGACTGCGCCAGGTCCTTGAAGTGACGGTCAGCACGTCCCTGGTGCCGTTGGCCTCGGTGGTCGCAGCTCCGCGCCCTTGGGTGACAGCTCCCGTGTCCCGGGGGACTGTGCCGGGACACCCTGGCGTTGGCACGTCCCCTCCGGTGTCCCTGCAGGGCACTGGCTGGTGCGGAAGGTGAAGGTGGAGGAGGAGGAGGAGGATGAGGCCGAGGCCCCGCAGCCCCCGCCCGGCGCCTTCCCCCCCGGCCCCGCCTGCAAGGCGGAGGAGCCGGGCTACGGGGTGCCGCCGGCCTGGGGGCCCGGGCCGCGCCTGGACGCCATCGGGATCGGCTTCGAGGCGGGCACCGGCACCGGCACGGGCGCGGGGACGAGCCCCGGCCCCGGCGGCGGCCCGCGGCCGTTCTGCTGCCCGCAGTGCGGGAAGGCCTTCGGGAAGAAGGCGCACCTGACGCGGCACCTGCGGGTGCACACGGGCGAGCGGCCCTTCCCGTGCCCGCACTGCGGCCGCCGCTTCCGCCAGCGCATCCACCTGCGCTCGCACCTGCGCACGCACACCGGCGAGCGGCCCTACCCCTGCCCGCGCTGCGCCCGCCGCTTCCGCAAGAAAACGCACCTGGACCGGCACCTGCGCACGCACACCGGCGAGCGCCCGCACCCCTGCCCGCGCTGCCCCCGCCGCTTCGCCCACCGCCAGCACCTCCTGCGGCACCTGCGCCTGCACGGGGACCCGGCCCCGGGACGCGGGCACGCCGAGGAGGAGCCGCCGCCGTGCCCGGGCTGCGAGATGAGCCTCGCCTGGAAGCAGAGCCCGGCGCCGCAGCCGGGGCTGCACGCGGGACCGGAGCCGGGAGCCGGGAATGGACACCCGGACGAGCAGCGGGACGGGGACGGGGACGGCCCCGCCGAGGAGCAGCTGCTCATTTGCCCCCGGTGCGGCACGGGCATCGCCTGGAAGCAGAGCTCGGCGTCGCGCCTGTGGCAGCAGCCGGAGAGCCGAGCCCTCGGCTGTGCCCAGCACCCCCTGCAGCCCGGAGCCCAGGACCCCCCGCGGGTGCCCACGGCCGAGCCCCCCTTCGTGCGGGACCCCCGGCTCCTGTCGCAGGTGCCCGCTGCCGACTGCGGCCACGGCTGCGCCCAGGACCCCCCGCCCCTCCCGCAGCCCCCGCAAGTGCCCGGCGCCCAGGACCGCCAGCGGGTGCCCGCTGCCAAAAGCGGCCAGGGCCGTGCCCAGGACCCTCGGGACCCCCCGCGGGCGCCCCCCGCCCAGCGCCCCTTCGCCTGCCCGCAGTGCGGGCGCGGCTTCGGGCGCAAGGCGCACCTGGCGCGGCACCTGCTGGTGCACTCGGGCACCCGGCCCCACGCCTGCGCCCGCTGCGGCCGCCGCTTCAGCTCCAAGACCAACCTGGGCCGGCACCAGGCCGTGCACACGGGGCTGCGGCCCCACCGCTGCGCCCGCTGCGGCCGCGGCTTCACCCGCAAAACGCACCTGGAGCGCCACGAGCGCACCCACGGCACCGGCACCGGCACGGGGGCGGGGATGGGCACTGCCACCGCTGCCACTGCCACCGCTGCCACGGGCACGGGTGTCACGGCGTCCCAGCTGAGCTGGCCAGAGCCCCCCACCCTGTGCCCCTGAGCCCCCGCAGGTGCCAGGGGCTGCGGTGGATGCCGGTGGTGAATCCTTGGCACTGGCGTGTCAGGAGGTGCTGGGAGGTGCCACGGGCCCTGATGGCTGCCGGTGGTGGGTCCTGGCACTGGGATGTGCCACGGGACCCGGTGGCTGCCGGTGGCACGTCCTGAGCGCTGGGAAGTGCCGGGTTCCTCCGTGGCTGCCGGTGCTGCGTCCTTGGCAGCGGGCTGGGCCGGGCTGTGCCGGTGCCTGCAGCAGCGCCGGTGGTGAACCCCGGCCCTGGGACGTGCCGGGATGTGCCGGGATGTGCCGGGGCCGGTGGTGACCCCCAGCTCTGGGATGTGCGGGGATGTGCCAGGATGTGCCGGGATGTGCCGGTGCCACATCCTGAGCTCCGGGATGTGCCGGGGCCGGTGGTGACCCCTGGCCCTGGGACGTGCTGGGATGTGCCAGGATGTGCCGGGATGTGCCGGTGTCGCATCCTGAGCGCCGGGATGTGCTGGGGCCGGTGGTGACCCCCAGCCCTGGGACGTGCCGGGATGTGCCAGGATGTGCCGGGATGTGCCGGGATGTGCCGGGATGTGCCGGTGTCACATCCTGAGCGTCGGGATGTGCCGGGACCGGTGGTGACCCCCAGCCCTGGGACGTGCCGGGATGTGCCGGGATGTGCCGGTGTCACATCCTGAGCGCCGGGATGTGCCGGGGCCGGTGGTGACCCCCGGCCCTGGGACGTGCCGGGATGTGCCGGTGCCACATCCTGAGCGCCGGGATGTGCCGGGGGCCCCGGCAGGGGGATCCCACAGGGTCCCACAGGGTCCGGGCTCGTTCAGCAGCCGCCGGAGCGTTGTGGCCGGTGGCGCCGGAGAGCCCCCGGTGAGGGGCGCGGGGGGGACACAGGGGGGTGTCCCCAGCGCGGCGCGGCCGTGGGCGGGGGGCAGGGGCTGCGCAGTGGAGCCCGGCTGCCAATAAAGCCGTTTTTATGGAATTTCCCGGAGCCGCGGGGTCTCGGGCCCGGCGGAGGGGCCGGGGTCGCCGGGGGGCGTGGCCCGGAGGAAGGGGTGTGGCCAAACGAGGGGGCGCGATAGGGGCGTGGCCTCGCGGTGGGCGGGACCTCGTCCCTATGGAAACGGGGGCGGGATCTCGTCCCCATGGCAACGGGGGGCGGGGCCTCGGGGGCCGCCGGGAGCCGCCGTGCGGTGAGAGC